TCTTTTGCCGAAGCTCAGACTCTGGCACAGGATCAGGAACGTTGGAAGCACTGTCTGACGCGTCTGCCTCAGCCACCCGAAAGGAGAAGCGGCAATGGAAGATGTAGATGATGAAAACGAAGGCACCAGAATGACTCCTTGTCATGAAAGTGAATTAAGATCGATGTTCCAAGGGTGATTTCTTTCATTTGCTTTCTTGTGACCTGAAGTGAAATTTGCAAAAATGGTCATCTTGGTATGTCTGAAGATATGTATTGTTTGAGACTGTAGTATATAGTTTTCTACCAGTTTCAGTCATGAAAGAATTCAAGTTTGTGGAAGAAACGCGCATCGGGACGATTGCTACAGGTTTTGGATGTTGCAGTAATACAAACATAATGACGAATCGTCTGATTGATGGATGAGGTATGGTTGGTGATTTAAACAGCCAGAATGAATTTCGAATATCGACGTACCGTAATTAGCGTACTTGCTTGACCAGATGAGGCGAACGTACTCGAGTTTGATTTTCGTTAATAAACCAGGTTTACTGTATCACGTAAGCTGCTTTCATTCTTTTAAAGTTGGTAATTTAATCATTGTCACTTTTAACCGTACAAAAACGTCCATAAACGCTCCTTACGGTTTACGCAGCAACAGAAACTATGGTTCAGTATTAGCTTCATAAAAAACACTCCAGTACTTTGCAGAAAGTCGTGCACATGTAAAGGACATTGACGTATTGACTGCCTCCTTTCTTCCAGCAATGTCTGTTTCTGTTTTCGTTCTTTTTTTCGGTTGGCAAAAGATTAAGAATAAGTGTATATGTTATTGTTTTGTCATCGTCATCAATAGATTAGCAGAGTTTAATCATCCGAGGAACCCAGATTTATGATGTCTCTTTAGAATTAACGTCCAACCTTCTTTGCCGTGGCAGAGGTTGTATTCTTGACCGTCAGCAAATCAAAAGGTTTCCATGATTTATGTTGTCCTCGACGTATCTACGACCAGTTAGGCGATTCCCAATTGAGAAAATTTCTCTCCTATTGTAGAACTATTTTGTAAAACCATATCAGGTACTGGTGTTTGAGTTAATCTGACTGTTTTTCTCATATGCCTGTCGTGACCTGACTGTGCTGATAAAAATGTGGCTAGCAGTTGCGCATTTAAGCAACACTAGAACACTGCATCCGAAAACTAAGGAGTTGTAGGGGGATTGCCAGTCAGTTTTATTCGAAGTCATGATGCATATTCAAAACCATAGACCTACTGTGGAAGACCCACTCTGAGTCGTTTTATTATTTTATAGTTTGTTTTGCTGTGCTCTTTTTATTAGCAGTAGGCAGTTAATCTGTCATTTGCTTTCTTGCCCTATCTAAAAACGCTGAATTACTAGTGACTGAGTGGCACTCGGATATGAAATGACTTAAAAACACGTTTTTACTTTTATTGTTCTCAAGCTTTAGACCAGTTATTCATAACCCCCTCCCCTCCCTTCATAATCGTTGCCGCGATTTAAATGGGGGTTAAAGAAAGGCTTCAGTAAAAAATTTTGAATAAAAATGAAAAGTTGTACTCTGCATTTTGTCTGATTAAAAACTTATTGAAATTCATTGCATAAGCTATTATAGTAAACGCTAGTATACTACAATTTCATGGGCAGTTAAAACTAGGTACATATCTTTTGGATGTTCATTTCAGAATAAGCTTATATTTAAGGTAGTGACTAGAAACGTTTTGGATACATTACGTTACACATTTGCTTGGTTTGCGTTTAGGCAATTGGCTATGTCAAGAGCTTAAACCCTGATTTTAGGGATGCTTTTACGACCGCTTTCGTCGCTGACTTCTTTTTCTCTTAGGCCGATATGTTCATCGGCAGTCAGAGGTATGTAGAGCTGGTTTTGTTATGGCCGGTTGAAAGTTCAGCGTTTGTTGCTTGAACAGTATAACCGAAAAATATTGTTTTTCACTACTGTCAAAAAACAGAAATTCGCAAATAAGAAAATTAAGGGTGTAATTGGAAACAAAACAAACTACATGCAGAACTGTTAACCAGGCCGTATCCGACCGACCCACATTTTGAAGCAGACTGTAAATAAAGCCTGATGTACTATAGGACAGAACCGGTGCTAGAAGAGAAATGCACGTTTGCTGTTTACGAACCTTTGAAAATCAAGGAACCATAGCATAAAATTAAAAGTTGAACAGTGTCCATTTTTTGACGTAGCTGATGAACCGTGATGATTGGAATGCGCTGTTGACTTCACGTGCAGAAAATTGAGCGTCTTTAACGAACTTTTGACTAACTGTGGCTTCCTCAGATTTGACAGCATTCCTATTTGCTACATGCCCTCGTTAGATCGTGAGGCTTTTTTTTTAACAAAACTTGTCTGTTAAATCCTCGCACAGTTTAGCGTGTCACATCGTCCATGACTGCTTATTAATGTCATTCCATGCTTATTTCATCGCTAACCCATTTGCAACCTGTGGGAACTCTTTTTGGCACTTGACCTTGCCTTAAGAAATGGCTAAACCTAGCAGCACTATCGTTTGCCTTTGGCTTTTCAATGATAGGTCTTATTTTATCTTGAGTCTTGGATTTTGTTTCCTTCCATCCTCCATTACTCGATGTCTTTGAGGAGACGTCTGTGGTGAGGTGTGCTGCTCACCACCGACTTTCTTTGAGTGATCTTCTGACACTGTTAATATGCAGTAATAAGTACAGCTGGTTAAACTGTCATTGGACAGTCGTACCAAACCTAATTACTTAAAACAGTTTATGATATATGCAGTTTCATTTCAACTGCATCTGTTATATGAACTCAGTGAAGCTGTTATAAAGTTGTGCCTTGTTCATTGCATAGTAGCCGGCATAGTAATCAAACATCTTAAATTCATAACCCCGGATTATATAATGCGCCGGACTGAGTGTCTTCTCTTCTAAGATTGGCTACAGTAAAATCGTTTAGCTTTTTAAAGTCTTATTTTCAAAGACAAGAAATTAATTAAATTAAAAATCAATTTCAGCACTTGCATAAAAATGTGAGGAAAGTTAGTCATTTTCGCATTGTTCTTGTTAAAACGTTGGCGGCGGAGATCATGCAACACGCAGCAGAAAACAAACGTCCCACAATGATTAGATTGCATGGGCATCAAAGAAAGAAAATGGCTGAATAGACGAACCAGAAAGACTCTTATTATCCAATCCTGCGAAAATGTAAACCCGGACAAAGGAAACGAACTCCACGGATTGAACAAACTTTATCAGTCCCGCGTTACTGACAAACTACTTAACCAGCGGCGTTGGCCTGTGGCACACCTTTGGCTCCTGACATCACACCAGCTGCTGACTACAGAACCAGCGGTGAACATCAACCCGGACCACGAGGAAGAAGGCCAAACCGATGTCGGTACTGGTCAATGATCCGATTGACCAAATCATTCGTTTGCGTTATGTACAATAAACCGTTTTATACATTTTTCAGTTTTCAGTATGATCACCAATGCATCAACAGATATTACTGTTTTGAGTTTTTTTATTCAGCACAATTTTTGATTTATGATGAAATAATATAACGAGATGAGCTGATTTTACGTTTTTTGTGTGAGTTTCTAAATAACATTTTGTCGATGTTGTTAGCACTGCAAAATACATTAATAGTGACAAATGTTGTCCTCCTTTTAGAGTGATACTGACATGAATGTAAAAGTCTGAACACAGCAATTTTCTGGGCTTCCATAGTTTGACCGTCCATGTGAGGAACGACGTTAATTTCTTTCCATTTTCTGATATGTTTTATTAGGTATCTTCCAGTTTTTTCTCATGGCTAACCGGAAGTCTCCTCGATTCGGGCGGGCGTTGCGGGGCAAATGACAGGCCGCAGTTTCATCCCTCTGTTTTCAGCGATCATTGCTAACTAGTGGCTCTAAATCTTTCCGTCAGATTTTGTTGTATAACTGCCCTCCTCGTAAATCGAACTATTGTAAAGCATATAAGGAGCTCTGTCGAACCCAGTTAGCAACACTTGTTCAGCCCACGGCTATTGATAGATACGCTGAGGTTGGATTATGGAGAGCATTTCGTTGTAGCTTTTTATTTGTTTAATTTGTTTCACTTAGCGATGGCCATAAAGTGAGTTATCATGTAAGTACACTGTAGAATGACAGTGTTTGAAGATCAGCGTAGCCATAAATTTCATAGCCTTTTGCATGACCTCACTAGAGAATGTTGTTGCCACTCACACTGCAATGACGAGGGCGAGAAATGGCGAAGACAGATTGGCGAGGTGCAGTGAAGTACTGCGCGGTATATTTCATTCATCTTTCGCTAATCACGAATGAGTTATTAAATCTAGAAATAGGGGAACAGCTTGACTTTTGATAGAAAGTGTTAAGATGTGAGCGCTCTTTGCTCTGTCATTGGAAGTATGCTAACGGGATGATTAGAAATTGGCCACTGGATTGCGATTGACTTTCCAACAATAGGCAGGCATTAATTCCGTTTTCAGATTAATGGTCAGGTAACAGGCCAAAGGTTCTGCGCTCCTTTGTTTTCCATCTGTGAGCCTGAGGTAGCTCCTCATTATTATGGATAGCACATTCAAAGAAAATCCTCTATTCTACTGGCCGCTGACATTTGTTCTTGCGAAATCCGGTCTTTTATTATCCGAAAGTTTTTGCGATATCCGAAAGTTTTTTTATTTGACTTTTATATTATTTAGATTAGTATTGGCCGCAAGGCCATATCCTAACTGACCAAATGGTCATTTTGATTTTTTCGTTTTTTTTCGGCTTGATTTTAATAAATTCAGGCAATTGAGAATTATGAAATACACGTAATGTACATGTTTATTAATATCTGTTCTTTTGCTGTGAATTGTAGCTGTTTTTATTTAAAGCTCGAGAATGGGTTGCTGACGGATGGTGGATTCGAGATCAGAAGGCGGACCGTTATCCGAGAACACCGGAAGAACGGAAAGCTGCAGCTAAAAAATACGGCCTACGTGAGAGTGATTATGAACCGTATCCAGCTGAAGAGGGCTATGGAAACTATCCTCAGCTTGGACCTATCAATTACGATGTAAAGGATCCGTACGAAGATTGGTCGTTTCCGAATATTCGTCGCAACTTTAGTGAACCGGTATGACCAGTTACCACTGTTACCAACTGAAGACCGTCTGTTTGTTAGGTCCCCCGCAATTTTATTGCGATAACTCCAGATCGTTACACTCATACGGTAGTTAACGATGAGAACCGGTACGTATTCTTGTTTACGCTAAATTTGTCCGTTGATGACGGTTGGTTTTAGCCTGTGGACGATCACACGATTCTTCATTCCTATTGTTTCAATGTTGACTTTCTTGTGGTTGACCGAATTCAAACTGCCGCATCCCATAACAGCAGTGGTAAGCATTTAACCATGGGAATAGTAAACCTCTTGTGTACTCTTTTGTGGATGACTGTGAGCTTTGGTAGAGATGATATTTTGCAGGTGCACTTTTCGCCGTAGGCCATTACAACTTTTATTCATTCGTTTTTAGCGCTGCTATTTTTTACTTCAATAGGCTTTTACGGTCCCAATTCTCTAGAAATCAGATCTGAAGGTTAAATTTTAATGCACTGCAAATCTAGGTCCTCTGTATAATCGATCTTTGTTGTATCAAGTCTGACCCGTGGCATTCTGCTATATCATTTTTCTAAGAGAATCTGATTTGCAACGAGCTTCTTTGGTACCCTGGTCACACGCTTAAATTATCAATGTGTTGATCTCGTGATTCAGAAAGAAACGGTTTAATAGAGAGGTGTGCAGGATTGTCGCATCCTGAACCTTTCGAGCCTTGTCATTCAGTATTCTTCGAATTAATTTTATTCCTCTCGCTTGTTTCATCGATCCTATTCATTCTATCATGATCCAGGATATATGACAATGCATGAGATTAAATATTTATCAAATGCAGATATATTTGCACTGCTGCTCAGTTTCTTCTTCGTCACAACAGTTCAGTTAAGGTCCGGCTACTCAGCGTTCTCATAGATGGTTCATGTGTCTGTTTGCACAACATGTCTGCATTGCTCTTAACTGCTCGCTCAGAGATTTAAACTTCCCTACTTGCTCCATTTGCGCTATGGTCCTTCTGGAGAATACGAAGGCATCGATTTTGATGTCATTCTGATCTTCGTATCTCTTTCATCGCAAATGACAGCAGGGTCGACCGCGAACATGTTGGAGATCGCCACGGGATGAAGCGATCATGCTGAGATGATCTGCAAACAGCAGGTGACACAGTCGAACGTATCCAGCTGTCACGTTTTTCATACCTAGCCTAAATTTCTTGATGCAGTTCGTAAAAATGAAGGAAGAGAGGATATATAGCACCGTCTTCGCAAGCCAAACATTTAACTTCATAGGCATCGACTTTTTGCTTAATCCTAATATAGACATATAAGCAGTTTTATAAGAACTTGATGTCTGACCACTACATCATATTACTGAAGCACTATCTATAATTTAAAGCTGGACATCCTGTATAACTTCTAGCATATTTAACACGGATGATTCCACCGGTTTTCCTGCACTGTGTTCCTTCACCCCCTTTGTTGCTCGAAATTTATGGTGACAATTGTGAGTCTATGATTCTGTATTGTATAGTTCAGTATTTCTTTTGCAGTGATATATTCGTGTCATTTTATTGCCTAAAGTAACAATTCTAATTTGCCAGTGATGTTTCAGAAATCGGTACTCTCCTTTTCATGCTTCATCAGTAGTACAAGTTTCTGTGCATGGAATTTGTTAATAAGTATAAATTTACTCTAATCGGGTTTCATTATATTAATGGATCCCCACAGTTGAACAGTGCGGTATCTTTTTTAAATTGAGCGGAGAAAACAGTAGCCGTATGTAGTTGCTTTTATTCTTATAGGCGCTGTTTATCCTTATATAGGCGCTGTTTATCCGCGTTGTTTATCCTTATATAGGCGCTGTTTATGACTACCATTTATTATGCAGAAATATCATAAAGTGAATTCCGCTAAGCAATAGTAATGAGTATCGAGCTCCACAACCGCCAGTTCTAGCGGTACACTGTATCCGAGATTCATGTGTTTCATATCTTAGCAACGAGGGTGCTTAATACTGAACATGTTATTTACAAATCTGGATGAAAAGACTGCAGCTACCAAAAATATTTGCCTTGGAAGAGTGGTTGGTTTAACGTCTATCTCGCTTGAACGGAACATGTAATTTGAGTTGGAAGCTTAGGATTCTTTCTCATCCTATTGAAAAGGCTGTAAGTTATTAAGCAAACGGTCACATCATGAAGTTAGAAAGAGTATTGTTGCTGGATTTACATAAAATTTATAACCCATTTATGTAGCTTCTCGTTTCAACTGGTTCACTTCTTAAGAATGATCTTTGGAAATATCGAGAATGGAATTAGATTCCAAAACGGCGATTTCCTTCCAGATTGTGTATTAGATCACTGCTGTAAATTTCTTTACTTGCCAATCCTTTTTAATCTGATGATGACCATCATTTGCAATTAAAATCTCAGCATATTCATTTTAATGCTGATTCTTCCTGACTCTGAAGTGTGTTGACAACACCGCGCTGACTATTCCTTAAACTTTTAAGCGTAATTTTAGCGATGATTTCACTAATGTTCGTTAAAGCTGCTTTAGGGTTTGATTGTTTTAGGTGTAAAGAAATAATCTCTGATTTTTGATGCTTTATTGTGCTAAAAATATATTGCAATTATGACAGCCCAGCAGCCATGTTACATTTTTAAACTGGCATGAAACGTCATTTTATCCTGCCAAAAAACGGTTGTCAAGCTTGTCATATCAAAGTTTCATTGAACATTGGCTGGTTGTCTGAAAGTTGCTAAATCAGTTCTTCCACGATAGTGATCTTCGATCGGTAGTGAACAAAGTCAAAAATTGAGTACTTACGCTGATCACGGAGTGTTGATGACATCTCACATGCTCTATTCTTATTCAAGAATCACTGCTGCATGAAGATATCCCTGGCACAGTTTTACTCTTGCCAAAATGGCTGTCTGCCCATCTATTCTAAAACGGCTGAAACTGGTGTAGTGGTAACTTCGATCTTGATTACTTCTGTTGTCATTCTGAAACACTACTACAAAGATGTCCAGGTGCTTGTCTGTTATATAGTGGGAAATATGTTTTAATGCTTAATTGTATATGTTTAAAAATCTATATTGAATTTTTGTAAGAATAATGATTAACAGTACTTAATTATGATAATTAATACTGAATAAAATTCTCTGTGACTTCTCTGTACTGAAAGCAACACGAGTTGCTTCGGTAGTAAACTTTGATTGATTGATTGCAATGTATGTAATGTTTGTGTTGTTCTAGAAGCCAAAGCAGTATCCCTATGATTACCATTTGGCTGTGCCAGTACGTCATCCGACGGATTTTCCGTTAGTAAACTATACGTTCGAACCAGAAGACTGAGTTGTATTTGTCATCTGTAGCTGCTGATTTTGCTCTGTGCCGGTTGGATTATAAAACAAGTTTTTTTAGATCGTATGCTACCGTTTCCGAAATGCTTTTTTGAGTTTTGCTTTAATTCTGATGATTGATATTGAATACGACCTTTCTGGTGTTATTTGTTATAGTAATAAATCTTTTGATCATCTGCGTAAAGTATATTATTACCGATATCGAAGTCCAGTCCGTGACTTGTGCTATAAAAACCTGTCATTACTCTGATGTAATTTCGTTTGTGCGTATTGTTTACCTACATTGAAAACTTCGTTGTTTTATTCTTTGGAAACTGCCATTCGTCGATTTAGAATGTTTACGTGTTTTTCCTTTCGAACTCTGTTATTCTCGGTACTTTAATTAAGCTTTTACCAATAATCTCACGCTTTTATCTATGAAAGTACTAACGTGCGTGAAACTTTTTCCTCGTCTAATGCATAATTCAATGACTATATGCTTTTTGTCCCTCTGAGACTATTTTCGATTAATATTTTTCATTTGATTTACTGACGGGAGGGGTGTTGTCGAATGTCATTCTCGTAGTTACGCTTTACGCGTTGAACCACACAGTTTGAAATGACTGTTCTTTCATTCATCTATATGTGCAAGTCAAACTATTTTAAACAACGTGCGGCAAGACCAGCAGCCGCTTGTTGTACAGCTAGTATATTATCATAAGTTTTGTTTTATGTCCATGTGCAGTTTTTTGTTTCGTATATAAACTCCTGCTGATGTTCAACCTTTCGTTCTAGCAATGCAGGATGGACAACGGCAAAGGTATTGAATTACGTACCAAGGTGAAATAGTTTCAGGTTTTCTCGGTCATACTATCTTCGCGAGTCTGACATGAACCCTGATATCGTTGGCTAATAATAATGATGATACAATCGCTACTTTGTAGGATGGCAGCAATAACGTTGGCCAAATTCTGTTTCTGAGGCAGAAGACTGACCTGATTAGGCCAGTTGGTCAGTGATAATCAATATCGATTAGTTAGTAACATGTTGCGAGCGAACCTCAGAATATCATTTGTTGAGGAAAATGTGATTAAGTGTTAAATTCTTTCTTATGTCAAAGTGCTCAGCTGAACCGAGGACAACGAAAGTTTTAACGTTCCGTCGTTTGTATTCCTTTTTGTGACAACAGCTTCAAGATATATCAGCGGTCTTCGGTTTTTAATCATCATGATGCTGAGAGTGAATGTTGGTAGTAGAAATTAAAACTTTTGGCATGTTTTCCTTTACACAAAAGATGGTTGACGTTTGTGAATATCATTTTTGTGATTCCGGTATCCGCCAGTGCTATATCAAGGCAACCAATTAATTTTTAAGGTTTGTTACTACCCTCATCGCGGAACTTCAACTTCTGTAGATTTTGTGAGCGTTTTCAGTTGAAGAAGCTTCACTGATTAGATTCTGAACTGCTACGATGCCAGAGTTTAAGACGCTGGAGTTAATTTTTTCTAAACTGTCTCTTATGATGGAGGCATCTACAGATATATGAAACTCCTACCATTAAATCTTGCTATCGCCGCATGAAATTCTGTTAATTTGCCTATCACGAATGGGGTAGCATTTCGAGATTCAACCTGCGATGTTTTGAATACTGGTTGGTAACTTTAACCAGTTACTAGGGTTTCTTCAGGCTCTCCACCTCCGTAGGTTTTATTTCATTTAATTCGCAATGTATAAAAACTTGCAAACAATGTCACTCAGTTTACTGACTCAGTTCATTTGAGTGAACCTTTATCATAGCTGTTTGGCACATTTTTTCTATTTAGATGTACTGTAAAATTGGAAATTTGATGCTATGTGACAGAATAAACTCGATCATTATATTTAATTTAAAGTTCGGATTTGCCTACCAAGGAATGAGGTGTGTATATTGGTCGCATGGATTAAAATATCTGTGTGAAGCAGTGCTTGTGTACATCATACGTTAATAAATGATATCGATATTCGATTAACCTACGAAAATTTTGTTTTCTTTCTCTTTGAACATTTACAGTGTCTACTTAGGTGTTTTGTGTAAATTGCGAAGTTGCATTCAGATATCAGTTCCTCCATTGCTCTTTCGAAATTCTTTTAAGGGTCCATCGTCATTCTATACATCCACCTGGTTATCGATCGTTGACTCGTTACGTTTGCTAATGAATGCGATATTTCGCACATTAATGCCCGCTAATTTTTTCTTCATATTTGTCGCAAATTTTTCGATTTACTTGAAAGAACTGACATTTTCATCTACGCTGTGTGTCTGTCTAATATGGAGTCGAATATATCATGCATTAACGTTTGCGCCTGAACGAGACTGTGGTTTACACGTTTATTGCAGGTGACATTTGCAATGGCCTGGCCACAAGATGTTGGTATATTGGCTTTGGAGGTGTACTACCCGTCGATGTACGTTGATCAGAACGAACTGGAAGAATTTGACGGTGCGAGCAGGGGAAAGTATACCATAGGTCTGGGCCAAAATGCGATGGGATTTTGCAGTGACTGCGAAGATGTGTGCTCCCTGGCTCTGACTGTCACTCAGCACCTCCTGGAATGCTATTCGGTCCACCCGTCTTCGATAGGATACATCGCTGTTGGCACTGAGAGCCTCATCGACAAGTCGAAGAGTGTGAAGACGGTGCTGATGCAGCTCTTCTCAAAATGCGGCAACAACGATGTCGAAGGCGTGGACACGATCAACGCCTGTTTCGGAGGGACTCAGGCAATGTTTAGCGCTATTAATTGGATCGAGTCCAGTAGCTGGGATGGTACGTATGTTTGTACGTCTGTTATGTATGTTTCTGATGCTTGCTTCTGAGTCTTTTGGCATGATGGCGCAATGGCGAGGGGGTGCTGAGTTTGAATTCGTTTAAGAGACAGTCTTTGTCTTAATTGTGAATTTCCTTGGACAGGTAATTTGCCTCACATTGCTTCCATGTAACCAGTCGAGAAATTGCGAGCAGGTCGTTAACTTGTTCATAACAAAAGCAGCCTGGATTTTTTTCTGTTTACCAGAATGGACTAGTTTTACGGCCATGCAGTTCGATATGAGCTCCTCCTCTCCCTTAGCTGCACTTAGCTTTGATTCACCTGATAGCTGACTATGCAATATAATAATCAGCCAAGATTTAACCAAAATTTAAATTTAATTTTAATTATTTTCAGCTATGAGCGTTGTTTGGGGTCTGTTCTTATACTTTACGAAATATTCAATCTATATAATGTAGCAAACACGTATTGCTACAGCTAATTTGAGTACATTGTAGTTGCAAGGTACCAGTTATCACACTGGAATAGCGCCTTCAGACGGCTTACCAGAATTACGAACATGATATCAGTTGAACATCCTGGTACTTCAGCTATGTTCCTATACTTTGAATGGATGCATTATGGATGTTCTCGACCAGCGCAGATCGATGTGACGTTGACTAAGTAGTGCTACTACCGCGGATCTTCTGTTTTCATTGCGAATCGCTGAATTTCGAACTCTATTAGTTTCGGAAGTATGGGCGATTGAATTTAGCTGATCAGGCATATCCCACTGACTGCTAATCTGACCTAGTATTAGCTTTCCATAGACTTACTTCCTAAACAGCCAATTCTTGTACCCTTTGCTTTAATTCGGGCCCACATTCTTGCGACTGCCAATGCAGTTATCAGTCGATAGAGCTACCAAGCGAA